CAGGCCATCCAGCCTTTGCGGGGTCGTCCTCTCAGTCTCTTTCCATAGTTTGGTTTCCAATCCAGTAAGAAATTGGGGAACCGCGTCTCTGGCATTCTGACAACATGTCCGTACCACCTAAGTCTAGCCGCACCGATGAAAGTTTCGATAGACTTAATTCCAGCACGCCTGAGAACTTCTTCATTGGAGACATGGAAGAACCACTTTATCTTCAAGATTCTTCTCAGGGAGGTCAGATGGAAGACCTCAAACCGTTTCATCTGCTTCTTTGTTGTGTTCCACACTTCAGCTCCATATAACAGAATAGTAATAACAGCAGCCTTGTAGATATGGATCTTGGTGGGCGTTGTTATAGTTCGACTGTTCCATATCTTCCAAAGCTGATGGAACGCACCATTAGCACGCTGGATCCTGATGTCAAGATCTCGGTCAATGGTACCATCCCCACTGATGTTGGCACCAAGATAAACAAAGTTGCTGACCTGTTCAACAGGTTCTCCCTCCACTGTTAGCTTTATACTGTCTCTTTCGGTGTAAGGTCGCTGGGACGCACACTTGCTGATCGCCATGCATTGTGTCTTTTTAGCGTTGATCTTCAACCCAGCATAAGAGGTGTAATAAGCTATAAGATCAGTGGACTCTTGCAGCCCTTCTTCAGTATTGTCCATCACTGCCAGATCATCAGCGTAGTCACTATCCATGATAACTTTTTCATCTGCACCCTTTAGTTCCTTTTGCAGTACAGCACCATGACTGATTGCCTTGTGAACCTCGGCCAAAAAGATTCCAAAGTTCAGACATAAATTAAATACAGGAGGGCCCTGGATATCACCCTGTCCAGTGCACGAATTAACAGAGAACCAATCAGACATTTCACCATTAACCCTGACAGCACTCATGGTTCCGTTGAAGAATGCCTGAAAGATTCTAACATATTTCTCAGGAAGTCCATAGTGTCTCATGCTTGACCAAATAAACTCTCTTCTGATGGAATCAAACGCTGCCTTAAAATCAATGAAATTAACATAAAGTGGAATGTTAAACTCAATGCAGTTGTGAATAATGGTGCGGATGGAATAAATCTGATCAATACATGAGCGGTTCCGTCTGAACCCACACTGATTTTCCCTAAGAAGACACTCCATTCCAACATCCAGCCTCTTAAGAAGAACCATTTGAAGAACCTTAGAAGACGTTGCCCTAAGAATTATACCCCTATTATTGCAGCAGTATATACTACCCTAATATATACTTATATATACTTACCAATACTTGCCTAAATCCAATTCAATGAAACAAGCGATGCTGAATAAAAACAACAAAATTTGTATCATGTATTTTAAATAACATACATACGTATAAAAGTTATTGAAAGTTTCAAAAGTATTACTAATACTAAGAGTAACTTTTAAAATGTACTTTACAAGGCATTATACAACTTAGAAGTACACGTATCCCAAAGGCCAAAATATCATGCAATTTGTAAAATTTAAACAAATATTCTTAATTATCAATGATAATTTTCTACATGTGTCGAACTCTAAAAACTACAACCCATTGTAAGAAGATTTAACGTGTAGCCTTTTGTTATTGTTAAAATAATAAAAACAATGTAATATCTATTATATAGCATCACAATTATAATGATATCAAAATATGATAATTGGTAATGTACTGGCCAGTATATTAACATAGATCCGCTCATTACGTACCGAAGTGAACATTCACTAAGCACCGCTGATCGTCGTAATCAGAGAGCGCGGTAAAGGAGTAAAGGGCGGGAAGGAGTGGAGATTGGACAGTTAAGACAAGTTTGGAACTTTTGGGATCCATCGTTCAAAAAATTTCAAAACAAAACTTACATGAAAATTATGAAACCTTACAAAACTCTCCAAATCAATCACAATGCCTTCTAAAGTACAATGAATCAATGTCCAAAAAAGATCAATTCGAGAGAAATCTTAGTTCCCAAAACAAGAACTTGATGTTTTTAGAAATAAAATAACAATATTTCAGCATCAAAGTATCAAACAGTTCCCAGGTAATTTGACACTACTACATAATTCAATGTACGGGTAAATGCCTCACAGAATGGCTAGCCTCACAGAATGGCCAAATTTGTAAATGTTTTTGTAACTAATTTTTTATATAAGACTGGTAGGTTTTGTGGATACCATATGAAACAAAAGTCTTCTGGCAACACTTCCTGTGGTGAAATCATTAACTAGGACCACATTTTCTGGCATAAATATGACTGTTTATGTAGAAATTTTGAGCACTGAAAATTTGTTTTCAAATTTTTGAACTAAGTTTGCATTTTGGTGAGAACTTCTGGCACCAGTATGACAGAAGATGTTTAAAGAATAGTATTCATCAAACAAAACGAACATTGTTAAATATAGGAAGAAAAAAAATGCTAAAATGGCTAAACGCCTCACAAAATGGCCAAAATATGCCTCACAAAATGGCCAAAATTTAAAACTCCTTTTATTCAATGAAACAATAAGTCTAAAGTATTCACAAGCTATTTATCATACAATAACACCCCAGATGGAGTGTTTTTACAGCCGAATGAAGGTTATAAATCATGAAATCAGGGAATATGAACAACGCCACACAAAATGGCCATTTTTGGTGTAGGAAATTATGTCCTTTTTATTCAGTTCTAAGAATTTTCACCTATATGGGGGTGTTAACAAGGCATATTAATACCAGCAGCATGCCTGAAACAAGAGCCAAAGGTTTTAGAAAAATACAATTTTCTCGTTTTCTTTTTTTTTTGGCCATTTTGTGAGGCATTTTTTCTTTTTTGTGAAATAATTTTTCACAGCTCAGTTTTTTCGTGAGTTTTAGGTTATTACCCTATTCCTTAATAGGTTTTCTAACAACGTGTGGTGATAGAAATTTAAAAAGTATCTCCATCAAAAAATTATAGAAATTCAGATTTGGCCATTCTGTGAGGCATGTTTTTTTGGAGGAAGATTTTCCGGCCAATTTTTCTCAAAGAAAAAATGGTCATGAGATTAAATCAACCCCCGGGAAGAAAAATATGAGTGTCAACTTAGCTTCTTATGAGATAAAAACTGGAATAAAGTGTGTTTTGTGATTTTGAGAGACCTTCCTTTTTTTTGGCCATTCTGTGAGGCATATACCCGTACTAAATAATTCAATATTTTAAAAACAACTTTAAAAACTTTATCAACTACTGCCCGACGTGACTCGTGTGCCACATTGTACCAACTCTCGCTCTTCGTCCAAGCTTTTTCGTCTACTTGGCGTAGGGCGCGGTAAGATTTTATGTAATCACGCGCGTACTTATCGCGCGCTGTAGTAATACGTGCACATGGTCTTGTGGCTTTCAATGACCCCTGTAATCCATGTGCGGGGCAGGAGGGTCAAGCACTCTTTTTCTGGAATGAGCCTCCTGATCCATGTGTGGGGCAGGAGGGTCAAGCACTGTTTTTTTCAGGTTGACCCTCCTGCGCCATTATACTGCCATTGATCAATCTTCTTTAGGCAACTTCCAATCACTTTTCATCCATTATTAACGAATCCTGACAAACCCCCGACAAACCCCGACAAACCCCGACAAACCCCGACACACCCCGACAAACCCCGACAAACCCTGACAAACCCCGACAAACCCCGACAAACCCCGACAAACCCTGACAAACCCCGACAAACCCCGACAAAACCCCGACGTGTCGAGGTGTGTCGTATCAAGTCGGGCCCACCGGCTACATGATGCCTTATTAACGAATCCTGACAAACCCCGACAAACCCCGACAAACCCCGACAAACCCCGACACACCCCGACAAACCCCGACAAACCCTGACAAACCCCGACAAACCCCGACAAACCCCGACAAACCCTGACAAACCCCGACAAACCCCGACAAAACCCCGACGTGTCGAGGTGTGTCGTATCAAGTCGGGCCCACCGGCTACATGATGCCTACCTAGAATGAGGAGGAGGAGGAGCAGGACTGTGGAGGAGGACTCAAGCCAATAATAAGCATGTGTCACGATACAAATGTACTTGACTATAAATTTAAGGTGCAGTGTACAGCTATAGTGATATTATGGTATGTTTAAAGACCGGACCACAAAATATAACCCGGTACCTAGTGTTGTACTAATACATAATAACAAGTAACAGGGATAAAATCAATGAGCAGAAACAATGGATTTCACAAGAGGCGAAAGCACTCGGGTCTGGGAGTACATGATAACTCCAACTAGTAGTGAGCATACTAGCCCCTGCAGTGGAAAAACACATAAAACATACTAATGGAATGTCCAATTGGTTCGTTTTCTCATCACAATATATAACATACGTATTGTCGTATTATGTAGGGGTTCTGGTTGAATTATAAAACTTCTGAGAGGTTTTAGAGATCGATTCTGTAAATTTCTCAATTTTCCGATTTTTCTGATTCCGATTTTGGCCTCATCAACCCTCATATCGGAAATCGGGTTGGACCCCCCCTCCCCCAGTTTAAAGGAACAATTTCCAATAAAACATAAAATGGATCACAATATATCCCAAATTTTAATTTAAAAAACGATAAAAAGGGAGCGAATTTCAAAATTTTGTGTGGGTTCATCGTTTTTGTTGTTGCACCCCCAGGTATTATGTATGATACATGATGGTTTACATATTATTTTAATGTTTCTTCACTGCTAAATTGAGCTTAGATCTGATTAATTACGAAGATGTGTGATCTTCTATTTATCAAAATGACGATTTGTAAAAAATACGAAAAAATACGAAAAAATACGAAAAAATACGAATACGAATTTGAAATTTTAGGGGTGCGTTCGTATTTTTTGTAGTTGGACCCCCCCTATTTAATAAGATATTCGATCTAGATAGTGTTTGAAAATTTGAAAAAGTTGAGCTCTTTAAACATAAATCTTGATTAATAGTAGAACAAGGGTAATAAGTTGAACAAGGGTAAGAAGATATTATAAAGATGTTATCAAGAGGAATTACTGACCTCCCACACAATGACTCTGCCAGACTTGTCACCGGATGCTAACAGCAGGGAGACAGGTACAAGCAAGTTGTGGTAGGGATTGTGTCCACACCATTTCACCTGGGTAGTGAGGGTACAGAATCTCATATTATATCGTTATGTATCTAATATTTAATATCTGTACATACTTCCTTTGAACACTACTCAAGAATCAAGATAAGGAAAAATATTGTGAAAGTTCCTCACTTAGATTTAAAATATGACGTTATAGAGTTATAGTTTACATGACACATAAACTAATAAAATCAAAAAGATAACACCGACTATCAACACAACTTACAGTAGAGACATTGAAGTTGTGAGCAGCTAGGACCTGGAGCAACTGAAGAGACTCAACATGAACCACCGCCACGGAGTTGTGAGACCCATACGCGATGAGACCTTGTGGGCCCCAGTCGAGAGCACCTGTATTTTGTGCAGAGAGAGGACCCGGTATGGACCTGGGGCTCAACCTCATCTTTTAGGGGGTTAGGGTATTTACATCCTATTACTGTGCTGATTGTTGGTGTGAGTATATGATTACGTGGAACTTATTATTGAACATTTTAGCAACCAATAAGTATTAATTGATCATGTGAGATGTCGAGGCAAAAGATAGATTGAAGATGAACACGTTTTTAAAGTTTATTCTGCTTTGCATTCAAATCAGTAAACAAGGAAATGCATTGTAAGTCTGAATTAGAAATATTATAAATATAGTACATAATCATGTTATGTCAGTAGAATGTGCAAAATAAATAAAACAAAGCATACAAATAAAAATTTAGATTTCCTAACAATTCTGGAAAACTGGATAAAATAGGAGCTAAAAATAATTCAGTTTAAACATTCATTAATTCTAATTTCTAGTCGGCTATAAGCTGTTAAAAAGATCATAGAAGATCCAGTACAAATACCTAAATTCATACCCCAGCAAGCTTATCACTGGGAGTTTCATTAGAGTCATCTGCCATATTACAATCTCCTACAGCACTAGGATCACTGACAATATCTTCAGTTTCCTCTACGACTGGAGGAGGTATTTCTACACTCTTAAGAAGATTACAATCCAATCGATATACACCTGTGTCAAACTCCTGAAAATATTCCCTTGTCATAGCTTAGTGGAAATCTAAAACAGGTGCTGCATCCAGTTTTCCAACTATTGTGGAAGCTCTGACTCACTGACATCAACAATTATCTGTTCAATCTTTCACGTATTTATGAACTTTCATTAGAGCTGTAACTAGCACATATTTATAATTGATATTAAACCGACCTGACAGCACTGTTGGATCATATCAAACTTGTTAGATCCTCCAAACATAACCAAAGTACCGTCCCCCAATACTAACAAGGTGCTTTGTCCCCGAGGAGAAGGCATAGCTTCCACTACTGGAGAATACCAGCCCCCTGTCTCACAATCTGCAAAACATCAAGTTAATGTATCAAAATTGGTTTTTACTGTACACCCTTTAATGTTGAATGTTTATGATATAATATTTTAATATAGATTTATGTGAAAGACAAAGCCGAGACTATAAAATTCGAGACAACGTTGAAATCAGCCCAACTAGGAAATAAGTATTTAGTGACATTTCATCAGAATAACATGAAAACGCTGGTATACCTAAAACATTGAGTTGATCACTGTGGGAGTTGTCATTAAATCTGCCTCCATATGTTAGCATGAACTGGCCAAATTGGGCAGAGCTGTGAAATGAGGTTGGAGCAGGTCTGGCTCCAGCATCTTCAAAAGAGCTCCACTCCAACGTTGAAAGATCTAAGGTAAACAAATCCTGTGGGTTGAATATTTTGCAGATGCAGTGGAAAATTATCAGTATATCTGCAGCAAACTAGCTCTCCAGCAAACTAGCTGTCCAGTGCTGTTACAATACAAGAATACAACCTATTATCAATGTTCCTTCACAAGTTTCATGACACTGATAATACTAAATAAACTTACCTGATTTCTGGCTTTACTATCTTTTCCCCCAAATATCGTCATTTTATTTTTGTAGATGTTTGCAGAATGTGCAGCCCTGGGGACAGGGCCTCCAATCATGGAAACATTTGGTGCATCCCATGAATTATTTTTAGGATCAAAAAGAAAGACATCGTTGTACCATGTGAAATTAGCACTTTGATCATCGTCATCTTCACTATCCTCTACACCAGTAGCTGGACCAAACCCACCAAATATAACTATTCTCCCTTCCCATATGACTGATGTGTGTTTGTCTCTGGGTGAAGGCTTGATTCCAGTAATCGCCAGCTTCTCCCATTTTTCTGTTACTGCAAAATGATTTCGATTTGACACTTTTATCAAATTCAAATGTGTCAATCAATGAGATGGATGTAAAATATCTTCAATGAAACGATTTTAATTGTACAATCTTACCAGTATCAAATGACCACATGTCATTATTCCATCCTGTTTCCCTATTCAGTCCACCAAAGAGATATAATTTTGTTCCAACACAGTTCAAGCTCGCATTGCAAAGTGGGCCAGGCTTTTCACCAGTTACTTGGATTTCTCTCAGTGTATTCTTTTCTGAAGTTAAATTGTTATGCCTTAATGATACTGTTTCACTGAAAAATATTAGAATTTATGATATATTTCCCAATTGATAAACAAAGTTCATTCACGAGTGGGGAGTCAAATTAGAGTTTAATTCGTTTACCTACATTTGAAATCAAAATTCTGATGCTGTAATCTATGACATTGTTGCAGTTGTTGTTACATTAGATAAATGATACCTTGCAATAGTTTAGAGACTTGTAATTGTACATAAAATATAGGAAAACAAAATTGCTGATTCATAAATACCAGTATCAAAAACTGCAAGACCAAATAACCGTTCATCCAGTCCTAGCCCACCATAACAGTAGATCTGAATGGATAAATTTGAAACCACAGTCACAACAATGAACTTCTTATTAAACAATTTTCCGAGGGGAGGTTTAAATTTAAGTTTTCAGTTTAAATGAACAAAAACTTGATGTCAAATTTTGGAGAACTGAACATTTTTACCTTATTATTCAAAGCAACTGAAGAATGCCCTTCCTTGCCTTGAATCTGAACATCAAGACCTTTGTTCCATTTCACTTCACAGGGTGACTTAAGAGGCTCCCTGTTAAGGACAGTTCCCTGCTCATTACCCATGTCTACAAAGTAAGGAGAGTTAACTAGTTACCTGGAGATTATATATTGAAAAGTGTTAAAAGTAGGCATGTAAAAAATCACCACAAGCATAACATCATGTAAATGCCTGAGCGTTTACGAAATATTTCAAATTCCCTGAATGTGTATTATGTATTTTAAGGCCACAGGGGGGGGGGGGGGTCTGAGGTCGATTTTGAGATTTTGAGATATGTTGTAGACCTCGATCTACATTTTCAAATGCTTTTGTCCTAACCGAAAACAAAGTTTCCTATTTGAAGATATCGCTCGTTGAATTTTGAGGTTTACCTGTAATTCTATTGTAAATGAAAACTTTAAATGAAATCGTGTTCAAAATCTATCTTCTTTTTCAGTTTATGACTTAGAACCTTGTAACTTTGCAAAACAGTGTTCTTCAAGGTATTTTGAGTTTTTGTTATGTAACGATTTATGATATCTTGCTCCAAAGCTGAGATATGAGGTTAACCATGAGTGCAGGTTACAAAATTTAAAATGGTTAACCTCATAAAAAGAGTTAGGAGCAAAATTACAACAATCGTTACATAACAAACTTTTAAATTTATAAAGCAATGAAAGGCATTAGTTTGGTCAAATCAAACGGAACATATGCTATCAGACTTTCAACTGACTAAGGCAGGGTTAAAACAGTTTTGACGCTAGCAACGATCCCCTTTTACATAGTTCCACTAAAATGATAATTTAAGATTAAATATGTATACTGTATAGTGATAGGTAAATAAAGTAAAAAATGTAATAAAACGGTAGGGATAAAGTATACTAAGTAAACGTAGTCGACACGTCATAAAACGAACTGACCCAAATAAACTGATAGATCTCCCGCGCAATTTCCCGCGCAATTCTAAAACTCCGATTTGCGCCGCTGCAAAGTTATTATAAAACTAAATTCAACACGTGCGACAAATATTTCGCAACATTAGAAAATGATGCCAACAGGTCAAGCTATGGCATTAATATATTTCCAGGAACATAAGTTCCAAATTTGAGGTGAAATGGATAAAAACTCTAGGAGAAGATAGATTTTGAAGTCAAAAATTCGAGGTTTTCAGGAGAGGCAAAAAACTGTTTTTTATGTTATGTGATTTTTGAGTATTTTGCCTTTATTTGTATATTTTTCAAAGTTTAACTGCTGAAATAACACAAAAACAATAAAAACAAAGCTTATTGTAGTTTTCAGTTGTAATGGCATCAATATTTCTGCCCTCCATTATCGATTTATCAAAAAAATGACGTTAAGGAAGAATAGGTTAACCTCATTTATTAAAAAAAGTAAAATAGCTACAGACAAATGAGTGGTGGCAAAGTATCCACCAGAAAAATATATATTGATTCAAAGCATAATATTTTTTGCATTTTTTGAAGCCTCGATCCCCCCGTGGCCTTAACTTACTTATTCTGATTTAATCTAATGTTATGATATTTTTATATTTAGAAAGTTATGATATATCATTTTGTGTGTGTGAATGAAGCTACACATCAGGCCTTAGATGGGGCATACATGCACTTAAAAGTGCATGTATCATGAAAGGACATCCTTTAGTACAAATTTAGAGGAACATTGATCTAATATTTATTCAATCAGTTACATTGGAGCGTACTGAAAAATCTATTGAATTATGAATTATTACGAATTTGTGCTTCAATACCAGAGCACAACTGCATTGCTAAAAAGGGCCCTACTACGATAACAAGATATGCATTGAGCACCATCACTTCTCTTGCCGGGAAGTATTAATAGAAGTTTTTCTGATAATTATTATATAGGTAATGAAATTGAAAATAAAAAGAAGAATAATAATAATTTTAGTTTCATCCTGCCAATGAAATGCTTTATGAATATTTATTCTCCTGAATATTCATTCTCCTGCAGCTGGGCCCTAACGAAGGGCCCCGCTGACCCCGCTGTGCGGGGGCGCCATCTTAGGGGGGCGCAAAATTGTCGTTTGAACGTGGGACAATTTTGGAAGACTTGACTGAGGTACTAGCAAAACTACACGTTTTGCCCTAGAAACACACTTTTTTAGAGATTTTACCGGTGTATCCTCTAAAATCACCTAATCTGTTCAATTTTAGGAAGGGGCACCAAAAGGGGAGGGGGCGCCAACAGGGGGGCGCGTTTTCGGCGGGGGGAGCGCCAACAGGCAACGTTACGCCACTGGGTAGTATGAATAAATTTTTACTGCATAAGTAGTGTCATAATTGGGTTAGCCCAGTAAGATTCGCTGTAATGTTATACCATAAGCTTATTAGGGGAGGGGGCACTGTTAGTGTTTAGGGTCTGTTTGGACTGCAGAGAGAGAGTTCATACTTTCATAA